GCGCTGCACGAGTTAGCGGCATCAGGGTTCAAAGTCCAAACTAGCGGGAGGAAAATCTGCGCTGAACTTGTTACGCGTCAGTTGCTCAGTAACATTTTTGTGAATTTTTTTAAAGGCATGTGACAATGTGATACGCGCGACAAACATCTTCCCAAATTCGTAATGAGAATCATTTATAAATTTGCATGCTGTTGTCAACAAAAATAAGCACTGAGATCTTGAGTCAAAATAAAAGTCGAGAAAAAGCAACAACTCCATCGACATTCATAAATGATAATATTGTAATTTTACTGTCCTTCTGTAAAAAAAAACAAAAAAAGTAAGACAAACTGATGATAATAATAATTACCCTTCAACAGCTCTATTAATAAATTTATTATAACATTCACACATAGTGTTCAAATTGGGATCTGTAATATATTCTAATGTTTTAAAAAATTCTCTTCTGCTCAGCAAGGCTGCCTTTATTTGTACAGTAAAAAATACATGCCTGATTCAAGTCTCAAAAATGGCCAAAAAATATTATTTTACTAACTTATTCATTTTAAGTTAAATTGTGCTTTGTTGGTATAATGTCTGCTAGAATGTTAAAAAATGTTCAGTGTTAAGTAAATATTTTTAAATTGTTGTTTTGTAATTGATTTTTTATTTGAAAAGCAGGACAAAACAGTAAAAAGCACATTTTGGCAATTTAATTAATGCAATTGCATTCATTAAATTAATTAATCGGTATTCGGTATTTGGCCTTCGGCCCAGTGTTTCATTTTGTTCGGCTTCGGCCAAGAATTTTCATTTCGTTGCATCTCTAATTCTAATAATACTTATCTCTCTAGTAATAAAAAAGGGGAAAAACAATGGCTTTTCCAGCACAGACCATAAACTGGTCACCTGAAACGCCTGCTACTCCGGTCTCCATCAATCACTCTCCGTGCGTTCCAAACGGGATATATCGCCCTCCGAAGGGCACTTCGGAGTGAAAACAATTATGGACGCCATATAGAAGGGTCATTCCTAACCAAAGTGCTCAAAACTAGCCACTTCAAAGGGCCCTTCGGAATGAAGGATTTCAAAGAGTACAATTGATGGACACTTCGGGCTCCCATGATCCTTTGCGCAGATTCTTTGCATGATGACGGCACCTCTGTGTGGGCACGGGATAATGACGCAGAAGGGCACTTCAAAAAACAGTTGTTTGGTCCTCTACACCCTTCAACCCTTCGAAGCTCTCATTCCGGAGGGTAAACCCTTTGAAGGGATTAGGGCATAGGGATGAGCCCTTCCGAATGGAACGCAGGGTCAGTTTGCTTGTTTGCTGCCTCCCCCCACTGCTTCTTCTTCTTTTAGTTTTAATGGTGACTGACAAACCAACTTAAAGGTTACCACCACCTACTGGACTGGAGTGAGGACAGAAGATTGACAGAAAAAAACCCATTAAGGCCCGGTCCCAAATCGCACACTTCATGTGCACTTGCGGTCTTACAATGGTCTACGCTTGTGCGTGTCCATGAGACCGTAGGGTGTCCCATTTTTCATTTTAGCTTTCAGAAGCGGCTGCTATGCACCCTCGATGCACACTTCTGCCTAGCTCCACAGCAGACTGGGGCGAACTCCACAGCAGACTTCTACCCAACAGTCAAAGCGACATTACGCCACGAAAGTGTAGACTCAGATATTCCAGAGTTTCTCAACCTTTTTTTAGTTACGGCATAGTTTTGATAAGTAAAAAAATCCCACGGCACACCACTAAGCACTGAAATATTGCAAAACTGCACATACATCCATTGCTTCAAATGGCATATTAAAACTGAATATTATATTAAAAGTAGTACTCAAATTTAATGTGAAACTTGAGCTTAAGTCGGGTATGAACACAAGTTCATAGGTAGCTTTATGTTATTGGTGATGATAAAACAATAAAAATGTACATATCATTGTTGTCCGGCGGAAACATTGTATATCCACTACCACTACCACTTTCAGGAAATGTAAAAACAACAACAAAATAATTACTATTATGGTGAATGACGTCAAGTTGACCCTTCCAATATGGCGGTCGGCTTACATATAGCGGTCCATCTATGTATACATATCTATGATTAGAACGGCCGCATCTGAGGCAGTGAGTGCTTCGTATTACGTTCTCATGAACTTAGGTTATTAAGTTTTGTAGCTATATGTGCGCTCAGTTTTTTGTTGTTGAATACATTTGGCCAAAATGTCATGATATGAAAGATGAAGTGCAATGCACAGGGTATGTAAAACAGACTCTTCTCCACGCTTCAAACACACACAGAACATTAGCCTTTATAGACTGTGTCTCATTTAGAAGGCTGTGCCCTCCGGAGGTTGCATTCGAAGGCTGCATACGTCATCGAAGCTGTCTCATTTCAGAAAAGCAAGTAGGACACTCAGAATGCGACCTTCGAATGCGACCTTCTTTCACAGGAATTCGGAGGATGCATGAGGTGTATCCTTCGCTGCTACAGATAACCCACAATTCTTTGCGTCACCGTAAACAACCGTTGTTAATTTGAAAAATGCCGGCGCCGGCAGATGTACACACAAGCGCAGATGTGGTGTTTACAACTTACCTTAAATCGCCTTGGTAAAAACAGATAAACTTTGTTTTTAATATCCTCCTCCTTTTTTCTCTCTAACAGATGTCTGCTGTACGTACGCTGCAGCTCCTCAAACATTGAACAAAATAAAACAAGTAAAAGCATTTTTTTTTTTTCAAATTACTTTCCAAATTTTTAAATAATTTTCCTTCAAGTAGTGTGAGAGCGCAAGGATGCTCTAAATGTGTTGGCATAGCAACGTGACACTTCCTGTTTCCTTTTCCGCCTGTCCTACGAAGGCCGTCTCGTTTAATTCTAGGTTGAGGACACTTCGTATATGCATCCTACAGAGGATGCGACCTCCAGAGGATTCGACCTCCGGAGGGCGCAGCCTTCTAAATGAGACACAGCTAATAATGGTGGATACGTTAGCCGAGTGCTAACGTGGCTAACTGATGAAACCATACAGTTTGTAAACCAAAATATGTCTACTGTAATGTTTAAAGAGCGACAGACAAAAGACGCTCTGTCTTAACTTTTAATCAGAACGCAGAACAGCTGTATCACAGGCGCAGCAGGCTAACTAACTCGCTCGTCTCTCCCGCATTAATCCTATAACTGCCGGTGCAGCAAAATAAACAGCAATTTCACTATGATTATAAAGTCTGTGTGCTACACTACATTCTTTATTATTAAACGAAGTAATTAGAACAACGTCAGTCTACATTAATCGACACATTCTGTAAAGCACTTTGAATTACCATTGTGTATGAAATGTGCTATATAAATAAACTTGCCTTGCCTTGCCATCAGTCCTTTATTCACCCTTACATTGAGAACGAGCAGAGAACCTCAATCCAATGGCGTTACAAGGTTTAGTCACAAGCTCTTTTGAATGCTCATTGGTTAAATATTTGTAAAACCCACAAAACGGACAGAAAGATGACCAATAGCATTGATTTAAAATAAAAATAATGACGAAATGTAATAGAGATAGAAAGTTTTGATAATTTTCATGGCACACCTGACAACCTGTCACGGCACAGTGGTTGGGAAACACTGAATTACACAAAATTTCTGTATACTGTTGTATATTTGATATCGTCAAGGCAGAGCCGATCCTCCCTATACGCAAAAGACGCAAGCTGCGAATAGGGCCCCCGAAACACCAGGGGGACCCCTTGCTCTCAAAGATGATTTAATTTTAGTTTCGTTTTTTGAATTTGGCCAGCGGTTATGAAAACATGAATGATCATTTGTTTGAATGCGGTGCGCTGTCGCCCTTTCTACGTAAAAATCAGTCAAATCATGTATGTGAATGTCGTACATTCTTGCTCGAGACTAAAAAAACGAGTTGAAAGCGTACCGAGCAGCGGAAGAGACACGGTTTCTCAAGCGCTTTCCGCGAGTGCGATTCAAGACGGAGTGAAACACGAACAAATGCGTTTCATTCATTCGCTCATAACCACTCATACCCCACAAAAAACATTGGTGCATTGTTATGTTTTTTAATGTGAATATACAGGTATATCAGCAAACACATATAGTTTTAATGAACATATACAGTATTTCTATTTATATAAAAAAGTAATATGAACATCTACCTATTGTTTGTTCTGACCCCATTCCATCACAAGTGTTGCTAGTATACAGAATTTACATAAAACATGCCAGAGTGTACAAACCATTGATTTAATAATAAAAAAATCGTATATTTGTGAAAAATACTACAACTCTTCTTTGCTTTTTATTAACAATGTTCTCCAAACTGCAGTAATCTTTAGTCTCCTGAAGAAAATGAATGAAATTTGGCTTGGATCCTGACGATTTTTCTTATGTGAAATTTTCCCCAAATAATAAAAAGTTGTACAAGAAAAGTAAAGTTATTATTATTAATTTCATTGGAATAATACATACATATATCAAAATTATTTAACTTAAATATATTTCTTTTCCTTCTAATGAAATTTTCCATATCCTCCCAAAAATCATCGAGTATACAAAATTATAAAACAGATGGACAATAGCCTACTCCTTTTCCATTTAACAAAAAATCACAGGAATAATCAATATCCAAATTAAATCTCTCTAACACACTTTTATCTGGATATATACCATGTAAAATTTTAAATGTAACATCTTTTATTTTATTATATAAACAGTATATTTCACAAATACGCCAAGCTTTATTCCAATTTATATTTCTAAATACATCGGTCCACAATAAGCTTTTATGAGTAGCTGTATCCCCTTATTATATTTCTAATTTATTTATTAGTCCAGCTGTTTTTAAGAATATCAATGTCTCCTAGAAACATGCTGTCTTTAACATATAATGCCTCAGCGTATGTTGATAGACAGCTTTGCGGAAGTTAAACGACGTCATTGGAAAGGGTCTATAGGCGGAGCTAAATTGATCGGCCGCTACGTAATGACGTCAAAGGCGGAGCTGGTTATTTGAAAGTGGCGGGCAGTCTTTCTTTAGAAAAACAGCGATTCACGGATTTTAATGACAGAAACGGTTAACGAAGTCTGTCTTTACATAAAATAGCAGTCTCGTGGGAGTGCGATTAAATTTATTCGAGTTTGTGTAAAAAGGAACTTTTATTGAGCTTTACTCCTCGAGTACGATAACAACAGATTACAGCGTTGAAGGTAATGACATGCGTTTTAAACATTCTGTTTTGTTGCAGCAACTCCTTGTTTTGTTTGTGTGTTGTTTAGTGCAGATGTATGTATAATGTGTATATAAAGTTGCGTGATATTGGCATTAAGGGCAGTTCAGGCCTTAGGGCCTTGTTGTATAAATCAGTTTTTATTACCTTAAAGTTACATCTTAAAGACTAGTCTTGGATGTTAAATCAGTTGCATACAAACTGATTTTGGACCAAAAAGTAAGACTTAATCCGCTTAACATGTTGCTTTACATGTATGTATGTATGGATCTATGCAGCATGCACGTGTAACAGTCATCTGCACAACAGAAGTGGTTTGTTGTTGTTGACTAAAGCCGCTTTTCCACCGAAATTACCTGGAACAATTTGTCCCAGGAATTTTTTTCCCCAGACCTGTTGCTGTCTGCGTTTACATCGCGGTCTAAAGTACCGAGACGATTAGGCAAATAGCAAAGAGTATAGGAGACCAAGAGGCGAAACTGTAGAACTTTCCATTGCAACAGCGGCGCCCAGCAGCAGCCCTGCGTTTCCGCCATTTTGGGGTGAAAGCGACTCGGCAGTCCACTAGCTTCTTGGTCCGTGTATCTTTTGGTCATTTGATTTTTTGTTTAATATTGAAAGTAGAAAAATGAGAAATGCCTCCTTTTTTCGTTTTTTTCATCTTTTGCAAAAAACGAAAAACAAGAATTCGGCTTAATTTTTCGTTTTTCGTTCAGGGGTAGAAAAATGAATAAACAGCTTGAATATTCAATTTCTACACGTGGGCGGGAATTAAACGCCCCTTTCTGCTGATTAGTCAGACAAAAAAAAATCAAACCGTGCCGTCATCAGTTATTGCAGTTCCGCGCGGCAGAATACAAGTCCTCTGCTGCTGCAGTTGTACAGATTCTTAAACCATTTTATTGCAACTACATTTAATCTTTTTCTCATCAAACAACCAGACAAATGAATGGCTCGACACAACCCGTTCTGTGGCACAGCCTAGACAGGGCTTTCTTCTGTCTAGATATAAATTCTATGCTTTGCATCAGCTGGGCATGCCAGGGTATATGACAGCTGTCATAGCCTACCCTGGTCCCCCAGTAAGTTTGTTTGTTTAATTAAGTAATTAATTAATTAATTTGTTTCAAAGTAAATATTTTACACACTAATACAAAAAGGAAAGAATAATACTTTGGCTTGGGTATATACAGAGCTGGGTAGATTACTTACAAATTGTAATCCGTTATTGATTCCAAATTACATGACAAAAAATGTAGTCAGTAACGTAATCCATTACATTACACATTTTAGGTAATATAGTCAGATTACTTTTTGATTACTTTTAGATTAATGTTGACCTAACTAGTTTATAACTGATTTAAACTGATTTAATCTTGTACCATAATGATTTAAAAATACAAATAGTGAGAAAATATATTCCTTTCATTGTAATTAACAACATGAAGTACATTAAACATTATTACGTCAGGGTTTCCCAAATTGGGGTTCGTAAATGAACTGCAGGGGGTGTGTGAGTTTAATGAAAGGCTAACAAGTAATGTAAATGTAAAAAATTAAAATAAATCATACACTTACTAAAAAAAGATGAAATATTTTGTTTACCTTCATGCCATATGACCATTCACCAATTTCAGAGAACCATGAACATGCAAATGTGATACTTAATTATTAAAATATTTATTTTAAAATCTCAGGGGTACTTAAAGGATCACTGATTATGATTTCACTTTTTTAACTTTAGTGTGTTAATGTTGCTGTTTGTGAATAAAAAACATCTGCAAAGTTACGATGCTCAAAGTTCAATGCAAAGGGAGTTATTGTCTTTTACAGAATTGCTGATTGACCACCCCCTTTAAAGTAAATATGTTAGGTGAAAGAGGTTCAGAGGACAAAGAGTTTGAGTGTCTGCAAATAAAAAAAAAAAATCGAGAATTTGTGTATTTTAATGAGTTTGAAAGACAAAAGCTTTTCAATAATACATGGTTAAATAACCTACTGAGTGATCATTCAAATAAAAATGAATGTGTTCATCAGTAGTTGATGCAATGTTGAAACACTTCTTAAACCTGAAATGATTTTTGTAAATCCATTGGTCAAATGCTGTGTAGCCACCGGACTAATGACTGATCTCTGTGCGAATGTCCACAAAACTGGAAACTTTCTGACTGCATTTAAGTGGTCGGCTATTTAAGAAAGGAACATTCAAACGATGAAAAAGAGGAATTAGGGAGAATCAATAAATTATGAATAATTTATTGCTATTGTGTAAATAATATGTAACCAATAAAAAAGTAACTGTAGTCTGATTAGGAGTATTTTAAAATAGAATTTAGGCTAATCTAATTACAAGTTCTTAATTTTTGGAATCTGATTACATGTAATCAGTTAATACCCAGCTCTGTACCATGGTACACCACAGTATTTATTTATTTTTATTTTTAGGAATGGTGGAGTGATCATTTGATGGAAATGCTTACAAATAGAACTGTTAATGTTTGTATTTCACATGTAATGGGTAACTTGTACAATGTAAAGCATTCTAGGTTAAAGGTGCAAAGCAAGGCGTCCAAAAATAGTTTACAATAAATCATTTACCAAAACAGCACAGGAACGAAAACAACAACAACTACGGAACGTATAAAAATATGTACAGCTAACGTTACACATATATTAGAGTTATAGATATACGCACGAAGAATAAAAAACAGTAAATTTAAACGGATGAATTTCCTTTAATTCACCTAATTTGATTAGAAAAGTAAGAAACAGTAACATTCAAATGTCTCAAACGTAATGGCGTTGTCCAGTATTACCACAATTACTCCAAGTTAACTAATCTTATAAATAACGCTACGTTATGAATTTCACCGAGAAACGATGCGTCAATTGGATTTCTATTGTAACTCGATATATTCATAAAACAAAAACATGAACATCACGAGTCGATACAGATAAACAGGAGAATTTCTGACGTTAAAAAACAAACATGTTCCCAAACTGTTACCTTGATGTTTTAGTAGTCTTATGTCTTCGAAATTACCCGATTATATCCAGTAAATGTTTGGTTTATTAGCAGCACATGGCCTTCCAGACGGGTGTCTAAACTGAGGGAACCGAACCGGATTCCCAGAATCGCTCCCGAGTCCCGAATTGGATCTTATCGTCCTACTAACCGTTCATTATGCGACAAAAACTCTCCTTCCTCCAGGGGGCGATTGTCGGCTCAAGGCCGCATCCTCCGCGTTCAAATCTCAGCATGTTTTGGTTTTATTAAAGACATTTGTATGCTAGCGAATATAATCGTTTAAATCTATTAACCCCATCTGACACGTAAATGGAAATTCGCCTACGTAATCCTCGTGTAATTATTAAACACAACGCCGTTCCCGCTAATCACAAGCAACTGTGATTAGTTCACCTCGACCAGCGCTGAGAAAAGTAACAGGTACCACGTGACAAGGTTATCAGCGTGATTTTTTTAGCGACAGTCTGCACAATAATTTATACATGAATAATGATACTGGGAAACTTTAATAGCCACTGAATTGAAAATACACAGTGAAGAGATAAAACTGGGGAATTATTATTAAGCCCCCTTTATACCTGACCAATCAGAAGCGACTTTCTGTCCGCTAAGCCACGCCCACGTGGCCCACTTTTAGTAGTGATGCAGTTGCACCCGCTTCTTGTTCTATGGATTTATTCAACAGGGCTGCTGGACGGAGGGGGATTGGGGATGGGACGGGCCAGGGTGGGAGCGTGGGCGGCTTCGTGACGTGGGTGAAGAACCACTGAGCCAACACCAAACAAACACCAAAAATTCAGCTGATTCTTTACCCTCTTCTATCTCTTGGACACATCTCTGTGAAACAGTAGCTAATAGGGAAAATAAGCTTGTTGTCCAGTCCCTCTCTC